TCATAATGAAGTAATTCATCGAGTCTAGGCGAAACCTCAACAGAATGCAGAAAGTACTGGACGGCCGTTTCGTCGTATATTTGGGACTCATCAGCAGTGCGCATCCCCTACCGAGAATTGAAACCCGAACAGTTACGTTATCAGTCAAACGCCATACCAAATGTACCACCGGCCTTCGGTCACGAAGAGGCAACGAATTAGACTCGATATAGCGCCGCTCGATTACATATTCCGTGGTGGAACTCATCCGAGTTTCTCTTTACCTACAGGACTGTACCTCCGTGAGCCACGACTACTATCCTCAAGCTTTTCAGTCCAGAGCATTAGAAGCCGGTTCAAGCAAGGATACACAGATAGAAATAATTAGGAGGATTTGAAATAATCATAATTAAGTAATTCATCGTGTCTAGAAGAAACCTCTACAGAATGCAAAAAGCACTGGACGGCCGTTTTGTCCTAGGTTAGTTAATAAAACAAAGACAAACAAAAGGGTACCAATATAATCAGTACGATAAACATTTATTAAATATTAATTATTAATCATATGACAAAAATGAAGCACAGAAAGAAATGTTCTAAGTTCGGAATTTTCGGACACGCCTGTGTTCTTTATCAATGGAGCAAGAAACAAATAGAGATGAGAATTACTCACCGACAGATGTTTTGGTAGACGGTGTATTTTCAACCATGAACCTTAATAAAAACCAACCCCTTGGAAATAATGTCTAAAAATGCGCCTGGGACAATAATCACGATGGACACAGATCGGAACTGTTAATCGCAGAGCCGAGTTCTAATTCCCGTTGGATTCGTTCTATTCAATTACGCACAAATACCCCTGGGAAAGATATGAATCCACATCTTCCCCCTCATATGGGTTAATTAGTAAAAGTTTTATCACTGAACCGTTATTATCTCTCTACCATCACAGAAAAAAAAATCTTACAATCTAAAAATATTTTCTGGTTTAAAATGTTTGTTAAGCCGTACAAAATAAATCATTAAAACAACTCATTATCGTGTGATGGTTAACAATCAAATGACTGAATTGCTGCCGTACAGCAACGGGGAAAGTCCGAAAAACCAAAGCCATGCTCCTATTAATAATAATAAAAAAATAAAACAAGCGTCATACACCCCGCTCCTCGGCCTGCGTCACCCCTCTTGTCAAGTCCGTGAGTAGAGAATGGAT